AAGGCCAGGGGCCCCTAGTAGCTTCTTGTTCCTAGTAGTAAGGCCAGGAGCCCCTAGTATGTAGCGAACATTGTTCCTAAGGCACATGTAGCGGAACTCCTTGCTGTCCAACTTCCCCGAGTTGTCCACGTCGAAGCGGCGGAAGGAATCGGCCACCTGGGCCATCTCATAGGCCAGGCTCACAGAGACCCGCTCCTGGAGCCGTTGTGAAGCATGAGCAAACATGAGGAAACAATCGGAAACAACACCGCGCAGGCCTGCGCAGGCCAAACAAAATGATGGTAAGTAGATGTAAGGAGTTTTGAACCATGGAGTACGGGTGCACATCTGATTTGACAAATGAACCTAGAAGTATCCAAACCAAACCAACTCTTTGGTGTCCAGCAAAGGCAATGCCTTTGCGAGTGCAGAAATTTGCCACCGCAATTTGTCGTTCAGGCAAGTCTACAGAACTTTAGTCTTGGCCTGATGCACCAGCTGCTACAGTATCCGTCACTACTCTCCCCGTCAGCTAAATTGAACCACCTTTCCCTCTTTCCCCCCTATCCTTGGACCTTTCCATTTCTACACGCATCCATCAAAAGTCGCTGATCTCTCTAAGCCTGCAACCTATGTTGCCAAAGTCCTGGCAGCCTCCAAGCCGCCCCCTGCCCTTGTCGCCCTGATTGCCAAGATGCCAAAAAGCCCTTGGCATCTTCGATGTGGTTTGCAATGATCGACTCCCGGCAACTTCGCACCCAAAAGAGCAAGTGGTGTGGAGCTCGCTCGGTACCCATGGGCCTTGCAACGATAACTTGATGCGCTTTGTGGAGAGGAGTGGGCTCACTTCGATTTCCTGTTCGATTCTATTGGCCAAGAGACAGGTTGCAAATGGACCAATCATTGGCTTACTTTTTGTTGGAGTGAAACCACTCCACGCATCCAACACCACCATCCGCGTCAAGATTTGCTAACAAAGGGGCACCACTAGGGGCACCATGGTGTTAAAAGGTCTGGCTCTAAGACTCTAAGATGTCCGCCTGAGATACGGATGCTCGTGCACAATCTGGGCCAAGCCAGCCACAACCTGCCAGCCACAAAAGCATGTCATCACATATAGCTGTCCCTTCTGGCACCTTGCCAACTACAACCTTTCCACACTACATGCAGCAAAGTATCAACAGTGAAAGAACGTTTTGCAACCTCAAATCCAGACTTATTGTAGATGTTGTCGTCATTGGAGGGGGATTTGGTGATTTGAGGCCATTCTCGCCTGTGCCATCGAGGCATCTTCGCCAATCTTCCCCAGAGCTCGAACAATATCATCGTGCCCAGCTCCAGTACCTGCAGCTGTCCAGCGGTTGCAAGTGACGGAGCCTGTTGCGGTTGCACACCGTCCTAGTGATGAGCACTGCCCACGAATAAAGCGGCTTAGGTATATATGTGGGTGATTCTTTTACTTCATGGGTCAATGAAATTAGGCCTGCAATTTGATCGAAAGGGGTGCCTGGTAATTACTACATTTCAACGTTGAATCGCTCTATCATCAATGCGGACACTAATTGGCAGATTAGATTCCTTTTTTTTAGAAGGGTTCGCGGCAATCAAACTTCTACTGACTGGAGTAGGGTACAGTAGCCGCAGTAGCCTTTGTAATCCAGGATTGATGACTTGAGCACACCAACGTCGAGCAAAGCAATGAACGGACAAACTCAATCCCTCTCTTTTTGCATGTGCAGTGAAGTAGTACTCTTGCTTCGATTCATGACTGTGTTTCCCTTGATGCTCAACTTGATGCCTGATGGGGAGAACCTGCTTGGAAAAAAACACGTGTATATACATATACATATGATATCATTTGCATTGCAAAGGGCAACCTTTGAGCAACAATGGCTGGTTTGGGGTACAAAGCGCATAAACCCCATATGTTGGCAAAGCAGGAATTGCACAAGACCTTGGATAGCAGCAACCATTGGAGTCCGGCTCTGCGACGAGTTCATTCCCGGTCCCTTGGTAAGCCTTAGTATGCAAGGAGTTCTTTTGATATTTCTAGAGACAAGTAGGTTGTAAGTATGTAAATGTATATTTGTTCAAATATAAATCTATTTGGGCACACAACTTGTTCATACCCTCGTCTATGTTTCCAAATATCGGACATGACATTAGAATGATGTCAAACATCTTTTGAACAGAATCCTCTTGTTCATTCTTTGGCCTCAATGCACTCCCAAAAAGAATATCCGATTGGCTTTGTTGGCCACATGTGTCCCAACACATAGCACTGAATTGGATGGAGGCACTGAATCGGACATCGGCGCCAGTGGCTCCGGAACAACAGGTGGATCCCATGGCTCAGACTTGTGAACGAGATTTCCTCACGGGAGAAGACTGTGATAAATGGAATGACGCATGAGATGCGTACCAAAAGTCAAAGCCGCATGTGTGTTGACGAGTCCTACTTATTGTCCAGCTATGGGTTCCTACCTCACTCACCAAGTCTGTCAAATACATCGCCCAAACATTGTCGACCAAATTCGAGCCTGGTTTCCAGAAATGCACTTTGCCTGGATGGATGTTGCACGAATCATGTCACAGTTGTCCTTGACTTTAGAATCTGCTCATGCATCGGAGGCGTGCAAGGGCAGTTCAACATGGTGCAACAAGAAAAACACATGCAGTGGCCTCTGCACGGGAGAAGACTCTTTACTTGGGTTAGCTTGGCATTTCATTGACCATAAAAAGGCCTGTGAAGAAATACAGCACCCAAAAGTCTCATCCGCTATTGCGAGGCAAAGAACAGAAATGTGCAGAAGGTACCGTGTACATCCGTTGCACCGTACATCACTTCCCCCCTTAGGCCCGAGATCCTGGCCCTCAAACATCCACAGAGTCCACCACCTGTTCCTCTTCGACTGGGAGAAGCTCCCCCCAAGCGGAGTACCGGCACCTGATCAATCTCCATCTGCAAGGCGCGCCTTGGCTGAAGCCGCGGAGATGACAAACGAGATGGAGAGCGACGTGTTGAATGACACGTCTGCGCTTTTGTTGCCATTGACGAACTGATAGCTAGTACTGCCATGTGCGTCTAGTTGGTTGCATCAAGACAAAGGCGTGAAGGACTAACAGTCGTGTTTGAGTGGACACCTTCAGATTTTGCTTGTGCTGTTTGATATGTACAAGCCAGCCATTCAAAAGCTTTCGAATTGACCTCCTTAGGACCTGTGGAACGGGTCTGATGCTCTGTTCGGACAAATTACCTATAGAGCTGCATTCTTCCTGGCTACAAGTTTGGATGGACAACAATAATAGCGGAATATATGCTGCCATGCACTTGCAAGCGCTTGCGACTGTATTTTTCTTCAGTCTCTGTGCTGCATCATGTTTTGCATCTTCATGTGAAGATTACAATCTCAGGAAATGCAAAGCAAGCCTCACGCGCTTGTTGCATGTATGCATCGTAATAGTTTATATACCAACTTGCCTTGGAGAAAGACTTGCTCTAACATCCTCTAATAAAGCTATTTCCAAGACTAAAAGCACAAACATAGTGTTCCTGGTTCCCTATGTAGAAGCAATGTATACATGCGGGACCGATGTGGCGGGTTTCAAACATCAAGGACCGAATCATGGGACTAACCGACTAACCCATCCGGTCGCTCTGCAACGCGTTGATATCAGAAGGGTTCACGATGAGGGGTGGCCCTGGTGGCAATTAAGCGCTGGCCCTACTCAAGTGCTCCCCTGGAGTCCCTGCGAGAAAGATCACTGTACACATCTTTCAGTTCTACGCGGGTTGAACCGCATGGCTTCATCACATCAGGCCACAAAAAGCCCTATGGCTGACCATCCCTTTTGGAACACAAACACATCTGATGGACGAACGACTACTAACGACTGTTAGAGTGAAGTGCTAACGGCCCTGGCGGCAAGCCATGTATGAGACCTGAATGAAACCCGGCCCAATCAAAAATTTTATATAGCCAAATTCAGCCAATTATGTAATCCAAACGTCTTTGACATCATGAGCTTGGATGCTTGCCGAACATGCACTGGTGTATGTAGCTGTCTATATATGGAGTCCATTGGAGGATTAAACAATTGCACATGTGTGTTCCACGCGTGACCGCGTCCAGAAGCCATGAAGTACTGCTCTGGGGCCCTGCTTTTAGCAAAATGGCCCCTCTTCAACATTCTGCCGATGGAATCCGCAGTCCCTTCACCATCTTAGAGCCACACAATGCGAACAAAGGCAAGCTTGTTGCAAGTTGAACGTCATTGTGAGCTGATTCTGTGAAAGCAAGAACACACACAACTCTGGGAAATAGACACGAACAAACTACAGGGGCACTTTGTGTCGTCAGTGTCAATTAGCACTCCATCTATATAGCTCCAAGGACATTCTGTGGCCACATGCCAAACATCAGTGGAATGGCAAAGTTTCTCTCGATACAGGCACCATCCCAATTAACATGTTGACAATCTGCTCCATTACTACTCTGCTAGAAGCGCAGAAGCCTGTGTGAAGCAGTGGATTCTACACAAACACGATGATCTTACCATGTTTGATCAAACAGGATTAAGCTGACATCCTCACCTAGATGCAAACATCACTCAACAAGGCAAGGAACATGCACCTGATCGCTTGCTCCTCCACATTGGACTTGAGTTTATGATTGATTTAGCTTGTACTTGTACATACCCTTCCCATCCCGTGCACATCAATAGCTGATACACACAGTAGAACACAAATAAACATTGACAGACATGATTCAGGTCAAAGCTTTTGCATTGGTGCGGCTTGGCGAGAAATCCTGCAACAAAAAAGCGCTGGGCGACACTGCGTGCATTGCGGCCTTCAAACATAGTTCAGTCCAACCCGCCCAGACCTGGGCTTGAAGTTCTGGAGACTGAGTTAACGCCGTTAACGCCTTGAAACACCCAAGATTGGCATGCTCGCCTGGCACGTGTCCAAAAAGAGGTCGTCAATCCAGAGGGGTCGGCGATCCGAACCCAGGCCCTTTGCCCAATGAATTCCCATGGGGCAAAGGCCACCACCTCCTTGTTTTGCAACAGGAATGTGTCCTACACCAAGGCACGCTTGTTCATTCGCAACATATGATAATGCTGTGTAAGCGGTGAATGCAAGAAATCATGGCTGGTAGAACCTGTCATATCTACTTGCCAGAAATGAGACTTGTTCCTCACAACGAGGCAAATGAACGCCCAGTGCAAGTAGCGCATAATGACGTCATAATACACGGGTGGCCAGTGCCCATTCAAGGAATCCCGATGTTGGATTATCCGCTTGTCGTTTGCTTGCCATACGTGTAAACAAACATGTGACACCACATCGCATGGTGTCGACTCCATCATGCATTTAAAACAAATTAAAACACTGACTATGTTTGCCACATGTACATAATATATACTCCAAAATGAAAGCCAATGCAACATCATGTCATGACTGATTGAAACTGAAGTTATTCTCAGAACTGACCCAGGACGCCGGCAAGCTGCAAGCTTGTGCGGATTGACACCCGCGGATCTGCTTCAATCAACAGGACCCATGGTCCAACATAGTCAAACCCGCCCAGTATGCGCTTAACTTCTTCGTACCATTTCTTGCGACGCCTAGAAATCGTCACAGAATGACCCGTTTGGCCCTGCTGCCTTCTATTCTTCCGGGGACACCCGGAGCAGCATGCCGAGCATGCCCAAGTAGTACAGTGCAGTCATTCAGAATCCGGACACGTTCTTTGAGGTAAAGCACTTCTTTGGGGTAAAACACCATCCAGTGTGACTTGATGTTTGTGCAAAAATCCTCACTAGGCCTGGACACATGCGAAGCCCGCGAATGGAATTCGCTCCAAACTGTGGGTGTTCAACTACTATTTCTGCCTGAAGTAGACACGCCGTCCCAGTATTTGAGGCAAAACATGCTTTGAAACAAGCTAAACTGTATAATTGGTAATTGGTCAGTCTGTATAATTGGTAATTGGTCAGTACAGCATTGCCTGTTACTTGGATTCAGGCGCTTCCGCACTGCGAAAGTGGTCCTTTTGTGGATTCTGCAATTTCTGCCAGATCTGCTTCATCAAGTGCATTGTGCAGCATCAGTGCGCTTACCTCAGCATCTTGCATAGATTTGCATACCATTGCAATGCACGAAGGACGGTGACCAGCACAAGGTAATCATGTTTCAATTCAAGCATTATGAACATTCAGGCAGCTGAATGAATAAGAGGCATGGTTCAGTGGCATGAGTCTCCATGTTACACAGTCACGAAGCACCTACTGAATAATCTTTACACGGTAGAAGTGACGGCAAAGGGCCAGGCTGAAGCACGCAGAACATGCTCTTGGAGCTCGACCTTGACTTTGTGGAGCCTGTTCGAGCAAACGCATGTGGAGACCCAGCAAGACCTGATGGTGGTCGTATCGAAACATGGGGTCACGAGGAAATCTGTAGGACTGGATTACTTACTTACACCTCTTGAACCCCCTGTAAGAATGTATAAGAATGTATAAATGACCGTATAACATAACCCGTATATTGTCAATTATTATGCAAACTCACGAACCCGCAGCCGCTCGGTATATGCAGTTCCTCACGGATCAGCATGGTTTTTGTCGGGTCTTGGTAGACTCCGCCGCAGGTGACGTTGGTGAGTGATTTCAACGATACTTTCTCACTCCCTTACGGCAGCTGCTCTTGGCAATAGGCAGCTGCTCTGAATTGCTCTGACCTTGATGTGTCTGGGCCATGGTCAAGGCCCAAACATGTTGACTGAGGAGTATCTACTATATCTCAGCGACAAAATGATGTCAAACAACACCGAGCTGGCAACTGGCAGGTCGACTCTGTTAAGAACCAGTATCTACCATTGCTGCAGGACAAACCTGTGGTGCCTGTGACAAGACCCCTTGCTGATTCTCTCGACCGTCCAATGAGGTCACGCCTCTGGTTCCCAAGTTCGGACTGCAGTGGTTCCTCGCATCCCTTCAAACGCGCAGTGTGACACAGTGGCATCCTTGCAGTCGCCACCTCCAATACCTGGAACATCCTAATACTAGTAACAAGAACGCTACGAACGGGCTCCTGGCATCGCTATATACTAGTAACAAGAAGGCTACTGGGGCCTCTTCTATCGCCGTACCTGGAAATGGCCCAACAACCATTCTGTCGGCAGCCTTCAGAGGACAAGTGGTGTGCAAACCTGGCCAATCCGGGCCAGGTTGATGGCCATGGCCATGAACCACTGATGGTTGTGTATTGAAGTAGGGGGACCCTCCAACCATTGGGTTTTGGTCTATGTTCCTTCTTCCCGGGTCTTTGGGAAGTCTCCCTAGTCTAATACACCACCATAATAAACATACACTATACTAAGTCACTATACACTTCAATTCCAAAAGAACAACGCAAAAGGTGCTCTGTGGCCAGTGGCGGCTGGAGACATAGAACTGTAAGTTTCTGCTTCGCTGGTATGCTCTATCTGAGCTTCTTCAGAATGCAGGACCCATGAAATTCGTGAACTGAGGGAAGAACACTGCATGTCATTTGGGAGAGCAGCATCACTAGGATTTATTATTCATGTCCCTAGTGCTCATTCTGTGATATAGAGTAGTATAAACGTGAGAATCTGTGCGAGGCTATCATGAGGAGTAAACAGCCTCAATTCACTTGAACACAGTAATCGACAAAGTGATGCAGAGTGATTCGTATTGGTGTTTGCTGTTCCGTGATCGACTCTGGTCTTAGATTAAGACATCAACATCATTCCTCATATCCTTGTAGCTCCCATGATTTCTCATAGTGTGTACATGTTTGTAATCAACTATCATGAGGTTCAATACCTGACGCCAAGAAAACATATTCAGCTGCAAAATGACATGATTTCTGGATTCCCCAATGCCTTCCTCTTGTCTCTGCCAGCTTTGTCTACCAGTCCACTAGTCTAGCAGTTGAAGTTGCATG